CGTCAGCTACGCGACGTTCCCCTAGTAGTAGTAGTAGTAGTAGTAGTAGTAGTTGTTGTCGTAGTAGTAGTAGTAGTAGCAGCAGCAGCAGCAGTAGTATTAGTAGCACTAGCAGTAGCCGCAGCAGCAGTAGCAGCAGCAGCAACAGCAGCAACAGACGCAGTGCTAGTAGCAGTAATGGTTGCAGTAGTATCAGTAATAGCAGTATTCGTCATAACAGCAGCAGTAGCCAGCAACATGACGACAGGTTGCGATGTCCAGGAAACGAGTTTGGGAAAATTTTGATATTTCAGTCTGCTACAAGGCACGAGAAAGAAGCTGTGCTCAATGCCCGGAAGATTTACCTTGCTCCAAGAGACTGAGAACCTTAAGCCCTAGGCCATACCCCAAGCTCCAGGCATCTCCATACTGGACACTTTGGCCCAAAACGATTCCTACATACATACTTTGGGACCTAATTAAGAAACTATTTGGGTTATCTTGTAAGGATACTCTAAGCTACAAGGTAGGCCCCCTGGTCACAGGACTATACTTACAAATCCCATAACTTCAACTTGTAGGACTTCTTTTGCATATTCTTCTATTCCAACTGACAGCTTGAAACCCTAAAGCCTAAAGTCCGAAACCCCAAACGCTGCGCTTCCTAAACCTTCTCCTCCCCCAGGGCCTTTGGGAAGCGTGCTTGGACCGCGAACACGTTCCCCGACTGTCTCTGGCACAGGTTGCAGTGGCAGAGGCTGATCCGCTCCTAGGACGGAGAAAATATTAGACATAAAGCTAGGTATTCTGAAAAAGGGGACTAGGTAGGGTTCAGGGTTCATGGCTGAAGGTTCAGGGTTGAGGCTTTAGGGTCTGAGGGTCCGCGCGTGGCAAAGACATTCGCGCTAGGCAGGTACCTTGAGCAACGCTATCATCTCTTGTTACTGGTGGCTAGAGGAAATACGATTTGTAAGGCTTTCAACTGTGAGCCCCTAGTTTGGCCCGTAATCCTGGGGTGCTTGAATAACCAGTTCCATACCTTGCAAAACTTCTACAAGCCCAACAAAGGGCCCATTGTTAGGACGCAGGAAACAGGTAACCCGAAACCCTAAACCCTCCAAAAAGGGTGGTGCCCATGTTATAGGACCTTAGAAACTTGACCGTTCCTTTTCCTACCTATTCGGAAGAGGGCTGGGGCTACGTACTCAAGCCCTTCTCTGAGCCTATAAGCTGGCACGTCCAGTTAATGCAGCGTTATCGGGGGTGTCATGCAGCGTGCATGCACGCAGGAAGCGTTCAACCCTAATTGAATCCTAAACCCTAAACCCTAAGCCCTTAAACCCTAAAACCCTAAACCCTAAAACCCTAAACCCTAAACCCTAGTGTGGGTGGATGGGGTGGGCGTGCAAGCAATGCAAGCGCACGGTCAGGGGCGTTTCCCCCCGAGCGCGCAGTCTCACCTGGACACCCTAAGCCCTAAACCCGACCCTAAACCTTGGGTACTGCCCCCACCCAGTAACAGTTTATATTAGGGGTCCTATTAAGGGCTACATATAACCATGTTATACTAATTATGATTATCCAACTGTTACTGGGGGGGCAGTACCCAACCTGAACCATAAACCCTGAATCCCAAAATCCCTGCTTCTCTAATCCTGACCCTAAATTCCCTAAACCCCTAAACCCTAAACCCTAAATTCCTAAACCCTAAATCCCTAAACCCTAAACCCTAAATCCTAAACCCTAAACCCTAAATCCCTACAACCCTAAAACCCTAAACCCTAAAAGCCTAAACCCTAAAACCCTAAAACCCTAAGCGCTATAACCCTGAACCCTAAAACCCTAAAAGCCTAAAACCCTAAACCCTAAAAGCCTAAAC